ATTCAAATATTTTTCCAAGCATCAAATAGAGCAGATTTTGAATCTCTTATTTTTATATTAGCTATTCTTTGTTTCAAAAGAAATGACTAAATATGAATTTTCATGACGAGTAAATATTGTAGATATTTTGCATTTTGGTGGTGTGGGTTCAAGTCGTGAAAACAATCTCTTCAAAAATGGGGGTAAGGCTGTGTACATCTGGCCCTCCTTAGACCCCCTCTTTAGCTGTAGATATGTAAGTTGTTTTATTTTTCAACCCAGCAAATCTATTATCGTATTTGTAAATAAACTAATTATAAATTGGTCCAATTCACATTGTTGGGGCCAGTAAATTGGCTCTTAGTATATGGATTTAGGAAAATGAAACTTGGAGATGCAGTTTGATCCAGTGGTGAAATATCTACCTGTGTTTATAATTTTATTTTATCAATGCGCTCTTGAATTGGTTATAGGTGTAAATGGGAATGGCTTGAAGCATAGAGGGTCCTGGTATTCACTTCTATTCTATTGGAAAGAAAAGAAAACCTTTCTGGATGCCATTTCTTCTTCACTGGTTATGTAGGATTGTATATTTGCTCATCTATGATCATACACTAATTTTTAAAAATATGTTCAGAAGAAATTGCATCTTGGTTCCACAAAGGAAATACTGGAATTTCAATGAGGGGAAAATCAAAATATTTGTGTAGGAGAAATTCATCAAATATCAAAACTATTGAAACTGTGACGATTGTGCATGATTTTTAACCTGCCCCTTTCCTTTTGTGAAAACCCCTTTTTCTTTTTGATTGGCAACATTACATTGATCGATTGATTTCTATGACTGTCATAGGTTTCTATAGATGTGTGTGAAATTGTCAAACTTGCTGTTAGTCAGGCTCAGAAGTAGGGCAGGTTATCTGAGTGTACAAGCTTTAGTCAAATTACCTTGTCTGAAGGTGATTTAGATCCTTCTATTGGTGAGTTTGATTCTCTCTCTCTCTCTCTCTCACTCACACACACACACACACACACACACACACACACACACACATATACACAGATTCAATTCAAGCAATACTATTATCCTTGTTGATGAAATATGCTGTTGGATTATAGGCCTATATGTTGGTGCATTTGGCCCCTATGGCACTGAGGTAGTTCAGTTGAGGTGTAAATATGGTAATTGGAATTGTGAAGATGATACTGACAAAACTTCAGATGTTGAGTTCTTCGAGTATGTGGAGGCAGTAAAGCTAACTGGAGATCTAAATGTTCCTACTGGCCAGGTACATGGCTTTTTCTCTTTTCAGATAGTTTTGTTGGCTTGTATATTGTATGTCATCACATGTTGATTATGTATGATAGTAATGGAAATTATTTGCATACAAACCAATAACTTATTCACCTTTTGGTTCTTCAGGTTACTTTTCGTGCAAAAATTGGAAGGGGATATTGCATCGCCAACAGGGGGTTGTATCCAGATGAATTAGGAGTGGAAATTATGTTTGCAGTTTGATCTCTCTCTCTCTCGTGTGTATGAGTGTGTGATCAATGTAACAAAAAGATAGCACATCATAGCCTCCTTCAACACCATGCACTACTCACATCTAGTGTGGTATATACATGTAGATTACACATGTAACAAACATGCGACATACATACATATGGGTGCTAAACTAAACATGCATGCACACTGACACCGTACATTCTAACTTACATGCAACACAAGTTCAAATTTGTGCATGAGGTTTTTCTATAGTTGCCCAAAAAGGGGAAGTAGAATTGAGAAGCAATATTGGAAGAGCAATGCTAGGTATCATGAAAAATGCTTCATGAAAATTTTTTGACTCTTAGATTATATATACAATAAGTTACAAAGTGTAATTTACGAATGGAGATTCTTTCATGCTCATTTTCGTGAAGCATTTTTCATGATGCGTAGCATTTATGGAATGAGTAACCTGATTCAAAAAATACCATACGAAATAGTAGACGATAAGTGATTTGAAATTGAAGAAACATAAGAAAAGAAGCATGGTGGCAGCATATAAGAATCAGGTTTTGAGGAAAGAAATTTGTAAGAGCTGTTCTGTTTTTAGATAAAATAGGTTTCAAGTGCATAGAAAGATTTAAAATTAATGGGAATCGCATCAATGTGATTTTTCCCAATGTCTCCCAAATGTTTTTAAGGGTTTCCTTCCTACAGGCTACAATACAACTTCCAAGCATGTTTCCCCAAAAAAATGTTGAAAGTTTTATCCTAGATTCAGAATTTTTAAGGAAATGGAAAGATATTTGTAAGAGTTGTTCTGTTTTTAGATAAAATAGGTTTCAAGTGCATAGAAAGATTTAAAATTAATGGGAATCGCATCAATGTGATTTTTCCCAATGTCTCCCAAATGTTTTTAAGGGTTTCCTTCCTACAGGCTACAATACAACTTCCAAGCATGTTTCCCCAAAAAAATGTTGAAAGTTTTATCCTAGATTCAGAATTTTTAAGGAAATGCATCTTCCATATTAAACAAAGTTCTCCTGAGGTTATGATATTTTTTTAGGCCAGTGGGATGGACTAGGATTCTCTACAATAATTTCGGTGCGATAATCTTGCAATGGTGATTCTAGGGTAAAATGATTTCTGCAAGGTGACAGAGCGTTTCATGCATATTATGAGAGTTTTATGCAGTTATATAGTAAATCTGAGTAACTAGGCATGCTTGTGAATGTCCAACTACGCATGTCCAGGGACCAAGGCACATGAGGCCCGGTGGCTCACATGCCCTTCTCAACTTTTGAGAAATTATACTTGTGTCTCTAACAAAAAAAAATATTTCAATTTAATCCTTTTAAGTAATGTCTTGAAATTTTATAGGGTCGACAATGGGTTCTAGAGAGAGAGACTTTAGAGGTTGGAGGCCGGTGGTTCGAAGACATGGAAGGCCAGGATCATGGAACACGCAGGTGCGGGCAGTCACCCACATCATTTTTGTGGATGACATTCCAGATTCGATGGATCTGAGAAGAATGCACTCCTTGTTTTCTAACTTTGGTGTTGTGAGAGATGTTTTTATCCCTTTCAAGAGAAGGAAAACGACACACACCAGATTCGGTTTTGTCAAATACGACTGCCCAGTAGCGGCAAACATGGCTGTTCAAAAAACAGATGGGCTGTGGTGTGATGATAAAGCTCTCAAGGTCAAGTTAGCAGAGTTTGGTAAGGAGGTCGTTGGGAAGCAGAGATCAGCTCATCCGATCTATGGTAGGCAGTTCAAAAGTAAGTCCATAGCTGCCTCTGTCATGCAAAATGGGAACAAATCGTATGCTCAGGTTGTCAAAGAAGGGGGATCCTCATCCAAACCAACTATTACCATTATGGCAACTGAAGAAGGAAATGGTTGGTTATATGAGAGTGTGATTATTAGGTTGAAATCTACCTGCTCTGCAGCCGAATTTAAGAAGGAATTGCAGATCAGGGGCTTAGGGGATGCCAAGTTTTCTCTATGTGGTGGTAGAGATGTCATACTCTCTTTCAATTTTGTGCCATTGATGAAAGACAGTCCCAAACATTTGGACGGGTGGATTAAGGAGTGGAGTGACTCGGTTAAAGAATGGAAACAAGGCATGGTGCTTGACCAAGAAAGGCTTGTGTGGCTCAGCTGCTATGGGGTCCCTCCAAATTTGTGGAGTTTCAACACCTTTAGTCGCATAGGGAAGTTTTGGGGTAAGGTTGTTGAACTAGATGATGAAACACTGCACCTCAACAACCTTCAATGTGGTGAGATTAGGATAGCAACATCTTGTATGTAGTCCATCAATTGCACTGTTGATCTGGACTGCAAAGGTATTTTATACCCAGTGAAGATTTGCGAAAAGCAGATTGTTATTTCTAAGGTTGTTATGACGAAGTGCAATTCCCACTCCTAGCAAAGGGATAGGGCCGATCTGAGTTCACACAGGGAAGAAAATGTCCTGAGTTCAAACAAGGAAGAAGAAGACCTTAGCATACGAATGGTTAGCTTGCAGGCTGTCCAGCGTGGCGATGTGGTGGGGGGTCAGAAAGCTGTCAACTTGGCTGCAAGGGAGGCAGGGATGGCGCATGTGGATGTCAGTCGGCAGAGTGTGAATAGTCAGCAGAGTTCTTCTATGGTAGAAGAAACAAACACCATCATGGCAGTGCTAAATGCTGGAGGCGCACGGGATGTCAATGTTTCAGAAAAAATGGTGGGCTCTATGCATGGTATGAGTGATGGAAAGCGTATTGTGGAAGGCGAATTACTCACGCCAGGCTACATTAGAAGTGTGAGTGGTTCTGCAGGTCATGGGCCAGGTTTAAATCTAGAAGTTGTGCTGAGCAAGGCCCACAGTGGGGGGGAACTCTGTTAGTTTGGCCCAGAAATTTAGTGGCCCTAGCAGCCCAGGCAACCCAACTATTTCTAAGAAAATTATTCTAGATGCTGGTGGGGCTTTAGATCATGACCAGATCCAAATAGGAAAAGGCAGTGGAGTCATTCTTGGCAAGTTTGGGGAAAGTTCCATTTCAGCAGCCCAGAAAATGAAGGCCTGCAGGAGGAAGAAGAGTAAAGGTGTGAGAAGAAAAGCTTGGAACAAGAAATGTGGTCTTGAACTTGGCCACAACATACTAGGGCCATCTATCAATCTCAGGAAATGAGCTGTTTTTAGATCTGCTGCTGCAGCAATTTCTCTCTCTATGGCAAGTGCATCCGATCGTGATAGGATGTTACTCAACGAGGCTGAAGCAACTTTACAAATAGGGAAAGCTCTTGGGCTCAATTTCGAAGATAAAGAGGATGAGGTTGTGAGTAAACTTGTTGAATTGGAAACAAAGGACATGGAAATGATTCAAGAAAAGGGGAAGGGAGTAGTCTGCTGAATGACTATTCCAGGAGGCTTAGGAGTGCCAATTTTTATTAATGAAGTTGTTATCTTGGAATATTAGGGGGCTAGGAAAGCCTGAAAAAAGAAGAAAAATCATGAAGGTTCTCAAGGTAAGGAAGATAGACATGGTGTTGTTGCAAGAGACTAAAAAGCAGGGAATCAATGTAGAATTTGTGAACTCTATTTGGGCTGGAGAAAAAGTGGAATTCATGTCAGTTGACTCAGAGGGTGCAGCTGGGGGGTTACTCTGCATCTGGAATCCTAAGGTCTTTCAGCTCAATCAATGTTGTTGCAATCGTAACTTTCTCCTTCTCGCAGGTACGATCTTTTTTAACTTTAATTGTGTAGTGGTGAATGTCTACGGGCCAAATGATTCTGACAAAAGGAAAAATGTGTGGGATATTCTAGTGAAGCTCAAATCACAGTTCTTATTTCCATGGTGTCTGGGGGGTGATTTTAATGAAATTAGATGCACCTCTGAAAGAAAAGGATGCTCTAGGAGGGATAAGGGGATGAGAGAGTTCAATGAAATGATTGAGCAGTTAGAGGTGTCTGATCTATCAATGTGTGAAAGGAAGTTCACATGGTGTAACTCATATGAGAATGAAAGATGGAGCATGTTAGATAGATTTTTACTAAACCCAGAATGGTTGCAGTCTTTTAATTTCAAGTTATGGGGATTACCAAGATTGTTCTCTAACCATTGTCCCATCCTCCTAATGGAAGATGAGAGAGTTTGGGGCCCTAGACCCTTTAGGTAACTTAATGCCTGGTCTATGCATCCTCAGTTCTTGCCATTTGTTGAGAAAACTTGGGCTGAATTACAATGTTGGGTTGGGCTGGTTTTAAATGTTTAGTCAAATTAAAATCCTTGAAATCTGCCCTAAAGAAGTGGAACATCGACATGTTTGGAAATGTGGAGAACAAGTTAAAAGCCACAGAAGAGGAAGCACATGTCCTTGATCTAGTTGCTGAAGAAAGGCCATTATCTGCAGATGAACTGGCTAGGAGAAGAGTATTGCATGGCGATGCTTGGAAGATGAACAAAATGTTAGAGAGGTTGTGGCTTGAAAAATCTAGACTCAACTAGACAACATCGGGCGACAGAAACACTTCTTTTTTCCACTCTGTGGCTAGTTGCAGGCGCAATAGGAATGCCCTATGCTCAATTCTAGTGAATGGTATTAATATTGAAGATCCCATAGGTGTTAAATCAGAGGTGTTGAATCATTTCAGAAATCTTTTTGCTAAGCCTTGGAAGAAAAGACCTTCCCTTAATGGCCGTTTTAAGTCAATTGGGGATGCCAATGATTTTGGCCTTTTAGAGGCAGAGTTCACAGAGGTGGAAATTAGTAATGCCATCAAATCTTGTGGGGGTAACAAGGCTCCTGGGCCAGATGGTTTTAATTTGGGCTTTTTTCAGAAATGTTGGAGTATAGTTAAGGAGGATGTTCTGCACTTTATGAGGGACTTTCACTTTAATGCTAAGTTAGTCCATGGTTTAAACGGGCTCCTTCATTGCTTTAATTCCTAAAGTTGATAACCCAACTTGCCTAAATGAATATAGGCCTATCAGTTTAGTAGGTTCATTATACAAAATATTGGCCAAGGTTCTATCTAACAGGTTGTCCCAGGTGTTACCAAGTATCATAAATGAAACTCAATCAGCTTTCATCAAGGGTAGATATATCTTCGATGGTATCCTTATTGCAAATGAGATAGTAGAAGGCTGGAAGAAGGCTGGTGAGAGTGGTATTGTGCTTAAACTTGATTTCGAAAAAGCCTTTGACTTAGTAAATTGAGAATTTTTGTTTTCTATGCTGTCAAACTTTGGTTTTGGGAGTAAATGGGTGAGTTGGATGAAGGAATGTGTAGCAACCGCAAGAATTTCAGTTTTGGTTAATGGATCTCCAACCCCAAAATTTTGTCCACAGAGGGGGCTGAGGCAAGGAGATCCACTGTCACCATTCCTGTTTATTATTGTGGTTGAAACCCTCAACATTTTGCTGGAAAGGGCCAAGCATTTGGGTCTAATCAGAGGGGTCTCTGTATGCTCAAGTGGTCTTAGGCTTACCCATTTACAATTTGCAGATGATACTATTTTGTTTTGCGAAGCTGAATGGGGAGAAGTAGCCAATATAAAAAGAATCCTGAGGTGCTTTGAAATTGTATCAAGTCTTAGGATTAACTACAATAAGAGCGTGGTCTGTGGGGTGGGAATTCCTGTTGAGCTGGGCCAAGAGTTCGCAACAAGTTTGAATTGTCATAATCAAATCTTGCCTCTTAAGTACTTGGGTCTGCCATTAGGTGCCAGCCCAAGTAGGAGAAGAACCTGGCAGCCTGTGATTGATAAGTGCAAGCTTTGTCTTGCTTCTTAGAAGGGAATATTTCTATCATTCGCTGGGAGATTGACCTTGATCAAATCTGTTCTTTCTAGCTTGCCTATTTTTTATCTCTATCTCTTCAAAATGCCCGAGATGGTTGCAAAAGAGATTGAAAGAATAAAATCTGCTTTCTTATGGAGTGGTTCGGATCTAAGAAGAAAAGTGCATTTGGTAAAATGGAAGGATGTCTCCAAAAGTAAAAGCATTAGAGGGCTAGGTGTTAGTAGAGTAAAAGTTATGAATATTTGTCTCTTATTAAAGTAGCGGTGGAGGTTTGGTGCTGAAGAAAATTCCCTCTGGAAGGAGGTGATTTGTGGGAAGAATATTGAGCAAGGTAGGGGTTGGTTCCCTTCAACAGTTAGGCAGTGGCGGAGCCAGAAAATTAAATTAGAGGGGGCACTTATTAATTACAATATCAAAAATTTTTACAAAAAATATTTTACGCAAGTTTTTACGATTGATTTCGAGAAATATCAAAAAAATAATGTTATTTATAACTAGTGTATCATAAACAATATAAAAAAATATGGATATAAGTCCTAAAATAAATTATATAATGATAAATTATTTTTTCATACAAAGTTTGATTAAAAATTCAATATAATGGTAATACCACGTCATCATTAGTATGTGATATCACCAAATAATAGTAAATAAACATATAGAGAGTAAAAATCCATGTCAAATATAACTAACAATCCAATAAATTTCATATTTTTATAGTGAGATTACTTATACTTGTATGTCAATAATAATGACATCACCGTTACATTCAAAAAAATGTATGAAGTTTTCATAGATATTATGATTTATAATAGTCTCTTCATTTTCAATCAAAACAACCATTATTGTTCTCATAATTTTTAAAATGTCATTGATAATTCACTCTAATAATATTTTTATAATTTTTTTATTTAAAATATTTTCTTTATATTTGTAAAAAAGAAAAAAGAAAAAAAAAGAAGGCCTATAATCCAGGGGGGGCACTTGACCCCCCTGGTCCCCAAGTACCTCCGCCCCTGCAGTTAGGGTCAGCAAGATGTCTAAAATCTGGGGTGATATTGTCAACATTGTTGCCTCTAGGCCAGAGCTCCTTCACTTCTTTAGGAGCAATGCAGTTGTTTCCATTGGTGATGGGCAGATAGCTAGTTTTTGGACTGATAGCTGGTCAGGAGGGTTTTGCCTCAGAGATGAGTTTCCAAGACTCTACTCGCTATCAAATGGCAAAGATGGGTCTGTGTCTCTGTACCATTCCAATAGAGATGCTTCTAGGAATTGGGTTTTTAATTTTAGGAGACCCCTCTTTGCTTGGGAAGAAGGTGAGCTGAGGAGACTGTCAGTCCACCTCAGCAGCTTCCCTCTGCTCATAGCCCATGTTCCGGACTGTTTGAAATGGAATGCTACTCCATCTGGTGTTTTCAGTGTTTCTTCTGCCTATCACTGGTTTGAACTAGGTTTTGGTTCTTCTTGCATGGTCTCAAGTTCACTGTGGAAGAATGCTGCACCACCAAGAGTTCAATTTTTCGGTTGGTTGGCTTGGAGGGGTAGAATTAAGACTGCTAGTTTCTTGAGAAGGATTGGTATACTTAATGGCAATGTGGATGTTTGTTGTATTTTTTGTAAAGAGATAGAGGAAACTTCTATTCATGTATTACTCCATTGTCCTTTTGTTTGGCGGATTTGGTCTTACTTTGTTAATTAGTGGGGGCTGCAATGGGTTCTACCAGGTTCAGTTCAGGAGCTGCTGGATTAGTGGGCTGGGTGTAGGCATACTAAGATGGTAAAGAAGATTTGGAGTGTAGTCCCTTTGGCTATTTTATGGTCAATCTGGAAACAAAGGAATGATTGTGTGTTCAATGGGGTGCAACGCTCTCTTGATGCTTTATGTGAAAACATTAAGGTTATAATTGCAGTGTGGGTCAAGTCAGCTTTTACCTTGGATTACTTTGTCTATGACCTGATCCGCGATCTCAATCAGGTGAAAATCATGCCTCAGTTTGAATATGATGGTTCTGGAGAGCCTATTGGTTGTACATTGGATGTGATTATCAAGACTACATAAGGGAGTACATGGGACTACTATGTTCAGCAGTGACTGTAGTGAGGCATTGCTCTATTCCTCCATGTCTTGCTGTTTCATTAAAGGGGGAGGTGAACTGCTATGGTCTGCTACAGTGGACTTGTGTATGGTGTATTTCTATATTGCTGTATTGCTATTTGGTCTGCTCTGTATTGTCTGCAATTGGTTGGCCTACTCTGTTTTCCTATTTTGTTGTTTTGATGTTTGGTCTGCTCTGCTAGGTTGCTCTTGGTCAGTTTACTGCTAATATGTTTCTGGTATACCAGTTGGGCTGCAATTGGTTTGGTGCAGGTGAATAGAGATGGTGGAGCTGCAGTAAATTAGGATAGTTCTTTGGATTGAATTTCTCAACTTGAGATTATGCTGCTGTAAATTAAGATAGCTCTCACATGGGAGCTTTTTGGGAAGGCTGAATGGTCATGCATGCTGGTCTGCTATTGCTTTGTGGCTGCACACCCATGGTCAATTTGGATGGTTTAGAGATACACTCTCTTGTTCATGTTGGTCTTCAAATACACAATGTTGTCCTTATTGTGAGGAGGCCTGGAGCACACTCTGTAGTCATGCTTTGCCTTATTGTGAGCCGAAGGCCTATAATCCGGGGGGGGGCACGTGACCCCCCTGGTCCCCAAGTACCTCCGCCCCTACAGTTAGGGTCAGCAAGATGTCTAAAATCTGGGGTGATATTGTCAACATTGTTGCCTCTAGGCCAGAGCTCCTTCACTTCTTTAGGAGCAATGCAGTTGTTTCCATTGGTGATGGGCAGATAGCTAGTTTTTGGACTGATAGCTGGTCAGGAGGGTTTTGCCTCAGAGATGAGTTTCCAAGACTCTACTCGCTATCAAATGGCAAAGATGGGTCTGTGTCTCTGTACCATTCCAATAGAGATGCTTCTAGGAATTGGGTTTTTAATTTTAGGAGACCCCTCTTTGCTTGGGAAGAAGGTGAGCTGAGGAGACTGTCAATCCACCTCAGCAGCTTCCCTCTGCTCATAGCCAATGTTCCGGACTGTTTGAAATGGAATGCTACTCCATCTGGTGTTTTCAGTGTTTCTTCTGCCTATCACTGGTTTGAACTAGGTTTTGGTTCTTCTTGCATGGTCTCAAGTTCACTGTGGAAGAATGCTGCACCACCAAGAGTTCAATTTTTCGGTTGGTTGGCTTGGAGGGGTAGAATTAAGACTGCTAGTTTCTTGAGAAGAATTGGTATGCTTAATGGCAATGTGGACGTTTGTTGTATTTTTTGTAAAGAGATGGAGGAAACTTCTATTCATGTATTACTCCATTGTCCTTTTGTTTGGTGGATTTGGTCTTACTTTGTTAATTGGTGGGGGCTGCAATGGGTTCTACCAGGTTCAGTTCAGGACCTGCTGGATTGGTGGGCTGGGTGTAGGCATACTAAGATGGTAAAGAAGATTTGGAGTGTAGTCCCTTTGGCTATTTTATGGTCAATCTGGAAACAAAGGAATGATTGTGTGTTCAATGGGGTGCAACGCTCTCTTGATGCTTTATGTGAAAACATTAAGGTTATAATTGCAGTGTGGGTCAAGTCAGCTTTTACCTTGGATTACTTTGTCTATGACCTGATCCGCGATCTCAATCAGGTGAAAATCATGCCTCAGTTTGAATATGATGGTTCTGGAGAGCCTATTGGTTGTACATTGGATGTGATTATCAAGACTACATAAGGGAGTACATGGGACTACTATGTTCAGCAGTGACTGTAGTGAGGCATTGCTCTATTCCTCCATGTCTTGCTGTTTCATTAAAGGGGGAGGTGAACTGCTATGGTCTGCTACAGTGGACTTGTGTATGGTGTATTTCTATATTGCTGTATTGCTATTTGGTCTGCTCTGTATTGTCTGTAATTGGTTGGCCTACTCTGTTTTCCTGTTTTGTTATTTTGATGTTTGGTCTGCTCTGCTAGGTTGTTCTTGGTCAATTTACTGCTGATATGTTTCTGGTATACCAGTTGGGCTGCAATTGGTTTGGTGCAGGTGAATAGAGATGGTGGAGCTGCTGTAAATTAGGATAGTTCTTTGGGTTGAATTTCTCAACTTGAGATTATGCTGCTGTAAATTAAGATAGCTCTCACATGGGAGCTTTTTGGGAAGGCTGAATGGTCATGCCTACTAGTCTGCTATTGCTTTGTGGCTGCACACCCATGGTCAATTTGGATGGTTTAGAGATACACTCTCTTGTTCATGTTGGTCTTCAAATACACAATGTTGTCCTTATTGTGAGGAGGCCTGGAGCACACTCTGTAGTCATGCTTTGCCTTATTGTGAGCCAAAATTATATAACAAAATGAGATTTAGTGCATGAGAAGAAAGGGATTCTCAGTTAGTATGTTGTTTGTGGTTTAGAACCTGATCTAATCTGTCAGTGATCTGCAATCTGTTGGAGGTGTTGTCTGTTGGTGCCAGCCCAATCTGGAGGTTGTTGTTCTGCTATTTCTATTCTGGTGGCTCATGTGGGTATTGGGGCAGATTTTGATATATTGGCTACTGAACTAGTTTATGCTACAGAGTTCTTCATCAGGTGATGCTCAAGTTGTGGAGACTTAACAAATAGAGGGGAGTTTGCACTCTGTGTGAGTGTTGAAGCTGTTCTACACAGCTGAGTGCACTCAGCTGCTGCTGCTGATTCTGTGGTCAAATTAGACTAGACCAGCCAGTTTTGGAGTTGTTTAAAGGTGATTTTTGGAATGAGAACCTTGTGGAGCTAAAAGTCTGCTGCTTAGTCTTGGAATAAGCTATTTTGTCTTGCTGATTTGGTGATGATCTGTTGATCTGTTGGGAGTTAATAGAGTGTAATTTGGTTGTCAATGCTTCTTGTTTTGTTTTCTCCTTTTGTTGGTTTCTCACCAACTGGAGCTTCGAGCTTCTACTAGCTCCGAGCTCCTCTTTATTGATGTACTCTATCTTTTTGTTTGTGTCCATCAATAAAGATTTTTTTGTCGATCAAAAAAAAAAAAATGTCTTGAAATTTTATATCACTATTTTCTTTACTTTTTTTTCTTTAAAAAAAAAAACTGTTTAATTTGTCACTTTAAATATTTAATTATGCTAAAAAAATTCTTATAAATTTTATATTAAAGAAATGTTATATGTCACCGATTTTTTTATCACTGTTCAATGTGATTTTTCCCAATGTCTCCCAAATGTTTTTAAGGGTTTCCTACAGGCTGCAATACAACTTCCCAGCATGTTTCCCCAAAAAAATGTTGAAAGTTTTATCCTAGATTCATAATTTCTAAGGAAATGGATCTTCCGTATTAAACAAAGTTCTCCTGCGGTTATGATATTTTTTTAGGCCAGTGGGACAGACTACGATCCTCTACAATCATTTCGGTGCGATAATCTTGCAATGGTGATTCTAGGGTAAAATGGTTTCTGCAAGATGACAGAGCGTTTCATGCATATTATGAGAGTTTTATGCAGTTATATAGTAAATCTGAGCAACTAGGCATGCTTGTGAATGTCCAACTACGCATGTCCAGGGACCAAGGCACATGAGGCCCGGTGGCTCACATGCCCCCCTCAACTTTTGAGAAATTATACTTGTGTCTCTAACAAAAAAATATATTTCAATTTTAATCCTTTTAAGTAATGTCTTGAAATTTTATATCACTATTTTCTTTACTTTTTTTTCTTTTTTAAAAAAAAAATCTGTTTAATTTGTCACTTTAAATATTTAATTATGCTAATAAAATTCTTATAAATTTTATATTAAAGAAATGTTATATGTCATCGATTTTTTTATCACTGTTTTATATCACATCTTATATGAATACTTATAATTAGTTCATTTATTTACAAATAATTATCATATAATCAATGACAACTAATAATATATTGCTATGTAATTCAGTGAGTCAAAATAGAAAAAAAGAATAAAGAAAAAAAAAAGAGTGATATATAATAGTCCTCGCGTAAAAAAATTGTTTAATTTGTCACTTTAAATATTTAATTATGCTAATAAAATTCTTATAAATTTTATATTAAAGAAATGTTATATGTCACCGATTTTTTTATCACTGTTTTATATCACATCTTATATGAATACTTATAATTAGTTCATTTATTTACAAATAATTATCATATAATCAATGACAACTAATAATATATTGCTATGTAATTCAGTGAGTCAAAATAGAAAAAAAGAATAAAGAAAAAAAAAAGAGTGATATATAATAGTCCTCATGTATTATTTATTTGCCTTTTTCTTATTTCTTTCTCTGGCCTCTCTACATTTCTTTTTGTGTGTGTATGTTAATATAATTTTACTCTCATATTTGAAATTTGATTTGCTGAACTTGTGGTTTTTGGGTAACTTATTTTCCCAGATGTGGTTTCATGTAGGGCATGGGACCATATGTCAAAGGAACAGATTTAGGTTTCCTTTATGTTGTACCCAAGCACAGATTCCTCGTGTTATTCAACCGCTTAAAACTACCAGAGGGAATCATTTTGCTGTGATCTTTTAGGTCTAAACACCCCTTGCAGATGGCATGGCCTTGAGAAGAAACCCACATTGTTTCTTTGAGCAGAAAAGGCTGTTCTGCCTCCACAATGTATCATGCATGCACGCACGCACGCACGTTCTTTTTTTTTTTTCCCCTTCTTGTTTCTTGTTATTTCTTTGGCATTTCTTTTCCCCTTCTATACCTACTGTTGAGTGTTGACTAAAGGTTTATGAATAAAGAAAAAGGGGAAATAAAAAATAAAAGGGTGCAATGGATGAACTGTGATGTTTTTGAAGGGTTGCTATGCTCATGGTCTCATGATTTTTCTCAGTTTCTCTGTTCAAAACATGTTCACAAATAGATGATTCATACAAGCTAAGCTTTTTTGTTTTTGGGTGTAAACAAGCTAAGCTTTTTGATTGAAGCTATATTGACTGGATAATTTTGGGGCATATCAAATATATCCTTACAATTTTGTTATGGATTTCTGTGCATTATGTATTGTCGATCACGATTCTCTATAATAGTTTTTCTGTGGTAAATTAATCCAATGGTTTATGTTTAAATCATATCGTCTTAAAATGTGATTTTAATATCATTTTACTTTAGTTTCAACTTGAATATGTACTTTGTTGATATGTCTTGTTGCAATAGAAAGTACACGACAAGATAATTGCATGAAAATTCAAGAAAAATCATGACAAAAATTAAACTCACGTATCATTTTAAAGCTAATAGATTGGGATTATCCGAATTGATTAGAACCCTTATACTGTGTTTAAATTATAGATTTGGGTAGGAATTCAAAAGGTGAAAGAAAAAAATTAGGTGAAATGTAATTATCTTTTGCTTATCTTTTCTCTTTTTATTTTCAAATCTCTACTTAAATTCTTATTCAAATCGTTGGTCGAAACACCTACACTTTACTTTCCTAGGAAGTAAAGAAAAAATATTTAGAGCTAGTTAGTTATAACAATGGCCAAAAGCTCAAATAATTGGTAGTATGGCAAAAAAGGCTATGGGCATGTACAATTAGTGACTATATAAAGAAGCCAAATTCCAAATGAAAAGTAGAAAGTGACATTTCTTGTAGTTCTACAAAGGAAGAGGCAAAATTTATTTGCCTTTCGCGCTTGGCATTTTGGCATTGAAGGCAATTAATATTGATCAAAACTTTGTGCTTTGATGAAGTAGAAAGCAGTGGCATTTGGTATTGTTTTTTATGTTCTTGAAATAAAAAAAAACGTAACCTTTATACCCAAAAAATGTTTGACACAATTTTTTAGAATTATATATATACATATATAAATAAACACTTTTGTTCAAAATTGAAAATGATTTTGAGCAACACTATCTTTTTTTTGGAGGGGGGGGGGGTATGATTTTTCTCTTCATATTTTAGTATTTTTTTTTATAATTTTACATTTTTTTTTTTTTTTTAATTTTACATTGTAGATACACTAAATTTTTTTAATAAATATTTTACATTTTAGGTGTGTTTAGATTTAAGTGCATCTAAAAAATTTAAAAAGATTAACTAAAAGATGAAAAAAGGAAATGTTCACTAAAGAAAAAAAAGAAGTGAAAAACAAAAAACTCAAACAATTAAAAAAACTAAACCAAACAATGATGTGTTTCTAAATTTTTCATTGTTTGTCACTGAAAACATAAAAAACGAAAAGAGTCTTTTTGCTATTAAGGCATTTCAAGTTGGACAGAAGTAACAATCTAATTGTTTTGAGATGCTCAACAGTAAAATGAGATTTTATCATATTGAGCCTTTAAAAAATTAGAACCTTGAGCGATAAGAATATTTTTAAATATTTTTTTTGGTGAATTTAAGCATTGAATTAAGTGACTTAATGGTTTTTTTAGCTGTTTAAGTGACTTAATGATTAAGTCAGATTCATATCGAATGTGATACTTTTCTTCTTTTATTTATTTATTTTAATATTTATTTTACTTTGAATTTTTTGAAGTTATTCTTTTTAAACACAATACTTTAGGCTATTGGAGACAAAAGGCATTATTGGATAATGTTGGGGAAAAGAGTCAGACCCGATCGTTCGAAAAGGTGCCTTGATTGTATTCTCTACATTTTGGAAAAAAGGAAAAAAAGAAAAGAAAAGAAAAGAAATAAAATTAGGAGATTGAGTGAGAATCTTTGCGCTTTTTTTTTTTTTTTTTTTTGGCTAGAGAAAGCTCATCTTCAAGCATACC